TGTATCCATTGCTCGATCAATAATGACTACTGTAAAAGCACTTACCTGTTATTGACATACAACTCATGCATTCTATGAATAGAATGACACTTGCTCAATAAAATGAACATAACAACAATGAACTGTTTCTTTGTTCAAAAATAAATAGGTAATGTACAGACAAATCTTTATAGGCATCACGTAACACTAGTCTTAAGCTTTCAAACAAAATGTTTTTGCCAGGAAAGGAAAAAGATACTTTTCTGAACTTCAAGAAATTAAAATGTGTCATATCTAATAGTTCGTAAGATGTACATGTTATTTTAATCGTTTTATAATCTACTCTTTGACATTTTAATGAACATTACTTTTTCGATAAATGTCAACCTATCCATCAGATACACTGTTGTGTATTTTATCTATTGCCAAAGTTCCAATCGTAACTAATGAGAAATGGATGAGTGAAATCCGGTGTAATGTTGATTTTAACAATACTTTTAGACACGAGTTCTATTCATTGATGGTTCAGTGCAACATAATGATTACACCATGAAAGTGATGATCAAATTGAGAATGCTCGTAAATCGAATCGTTGGCTTGTGGATCAAATTATTTTGAAGATATATCCTTATTCCTGATCTCTGAAAAGTGGTCAAGCGACTTTCAGACATTAAAAAGTAAGCAAAAAGAGAGAGGTTTATTCACTATACTGAGTCTTATGGTGATGTCAGATTCCAGTTTTACATCAACTTGAGATTAGAATTTTAAGACTCTGAAATCTCGGCTCGAAAAAAATCAAATATAGATGTTGCAACTGGATATTCTAATTTTAGATTGCTGTGAAACTGAAATTTGACATCACCATAAGACTCAACACAGTGCATAGTCTACCATGCGCTGTGTCTACTTTCTAATCTTTGAAAGTCGTTTAGCCAATTGTAGCCTTCTCGAATATAAGGATACATTTTCCAAAGTATTTGATCTAGAAGCCGACCATTCGATATATGAATCTTCTCGATTGGTTCATCACTTAAATGGCGTACTCATTATATGGTACTGAGCCACCTATGAACAGAGCTCGTATCTGAAAAAAATAACATTGTTGAAGCCAGCATGACGAAACTATTATTTTTCATATTTTAACGCTTTTGTCAGCTAATTATAATGATGGAGATTGCTGGATAAGTAAGCTTAATACAAGAACAATGGAAAAGTTTGAGCATGTGCACCTTTCGGATTTTATGGCTCACTAGAGATAATGCTGAGTTCTATATTTATTTGCTTTCATCGGCAAATTTTCGTGGAGTATTCTTTGCATTATTTCGCTGATATAGATTTCACCAGTGGAAGCCAGAGCGCCGATATTTACCATGATTCATCACTGCCAGCCTGAAACCAAGCAAATGTTTCGACAATTCATACACTATGCAGCATACATCTACTTAGAGCATACCAATAGCAATGGTGCAAAAACTATAATATTTTATATCAAACTCAAAGAAACTTTCCTTCCGTACAAAGTGGACCAAAAGTAAGGAAATGCAAAATGTTTTTAATTTCGTCTTTATACATGCATATTAAAATCTTTTATTTATATAACATATATATACGTAATGGTAGTCAGAGGTATAGTATATTATCAGTATCTTAGCTCAATAGTTTGTTTCAAAAATGCACCGATGTATCTTGTATACTCCTTTTTTGACTGTAGCAAAGCTAATCTTTTCTTGTCGAATTTTCTTTTCGATTTTTCATCTGATTGGACCCATTCGCCGAATAAATCGGCATTCAATATTCTTTTTCGAATTTCTTTTAGATAAAAGGATGTAAAAAATCACATAAATATGTTTTATTCTGCAAATTCGTACAGTCGAAACGAAAAGTGGTATCTGTAGAGATGAAATCAAAAAATGTTGTGTTTCCTTTACTCTTGCTTCGCTCTGTCCGTCCTGATCAATAGTAACAAAAAAATCGAAAGAACATATCGAATGACACTTACGTCACAAAAAAAATGTGGAAAATGTTGGTACACAGAGATTAGATTATTCAAATTTAGATAAGAGTTTGAAATAGAACCTGTTAGCATAGTTCCAAACCCGTCTCCGCTTAGATTCAGATCTGAAAACTTTGAACTTCGCGAGCTCCAATGTGAAGCATAGTGGACAATCAGACGGACATGATCGAAATTTCTCTTTGCCAAAGTTCAAATATTGAAATGAATACATCTATAATTAGTCTGTCTCATCTTAAAATAATGATACCAGTTATCAAGTTATGAAGATAGTTTACAGCGAAAACTATCGACACCAATTATTGACCCATGAGTTTCATTGTATAACCGAAAGTAGGTTCTAAGATTGGTCGTACTGTATTGTGTGAATGTGACAAAGAGTTCTAATCTGATCAAGCTAAAACTTTCACCAATTAATCTTCTGCATTAGATTTATGTAGGCCATAGCTTCACTTTGAATCAGTCGATAGCGGCGTAACTAAAAGTTTCCGCTTAAAAATCGTTAATTTTGAGAATAGATAGACATTTTGAGACAAAACAAATGTGATATTCGGAATCAACTTATCAAACTGCATCGAAACATATATTAGCAAGTTTTAATCCAAGCAATCTCAAATTTATTTTATCATAAATGAATATTATCTCTTTAAAATAGGCATGAAAATTTTATTGTTAACATGGAGTGTTCGTGTGAAAATAGTATTAGTTTCGGAAAATCATAACATTTTTAGCTTAATCTTGTTCATTGAATTGTTAAATTTAGAAATCAAGAGTAATGACAACAGTTTGATTATTATTTTGGATATTGAATATCTACATTCTAAGCTTCAGTTTTTTTTCCTGATAGCAATAAAAATTATATACAGTCAGCTATTTGCATGATAACGTTACTTAAAAAAAGAACCAGATTTATTCAATTTGTTCAAGTGCATACTAACAATATCTATTAGAATCCTACGTAGAAAATATCCTTACGTAAACTCTGCCACTAAGAATAGAGTTATACGTCTAAGTCAATCCGTTGAGTCATCGTCTTAAGACAATAACTGTTTTCGAGCTGTCTCGATCAGTGCTATTAATAGCAAAATGAGTCAGTATAAATCGTCATTGTTAATCAATATAACTTTCTGAAGATAGTTGCTACCGCCAAATTACATATTAACTTATCTTTTAAACTTTTCACAGTCGATTGTATAACAGCTTTTCTAAACAATTAGTTTATTAGAAAAGAATGTTTTTTTTAAGCGACAACAATAATAATGATTACACTTGAATAAAATAGCGTTGAATTTTAGTACATTTTAAATGCGTTTTGTCAGAGAAATGACAGAGAGTTAAATCGATTTACGAGGGGTATCAATAAGCAGAACAATAGAAAAACCGAAAAAGTATTTTTTTTCATTTGGTTCCATTATATTCTAATCATTAGTATTTTCTTTGATTAAAATTGATTATTTAGAATTTTCAAATGTATTATTAGTTCTGGATTAGGTAGCAAACAATTCATATTGGTACTCGTTGATAATTTGACAACATGATAGGTGTTGATAGCTGATATGAATGAGGAGAAGTTGTATTAGATTGATGGTCATATTGTATTGTCGATAGTATCGACTGTTAATAAATCGAAGCTCATTTTATGCATTTTAGGTCAGCCAGTTTGTGATACTCGCAAAGCAACAACATCATACAAAATAAAATATAAGAAACATGTAATTGCCACAATAACAACAGGCGGTAATTAAGTTTTAATCAATGCTAAACGATTATCTCCATACTTATTTGAATGATCATTATGATTTCGTTTTCGAACAAAATTAATATTAATGACAATTAGAACGATTTCAAAAATCAATGACATGAGGAAACCTATCGATAAAACTTTCTTCTTGGATATAATACTATATTGAATGTTCTTCACACATTTTCATAGCGTATCAATTGAGAAGATTGAATAAAGAAGGTATTAAATTATTTTCACGTCCATTTTTTCGTAACATATGATCGTCATTTTAAAATATAGGCGATCCGTATGTAAATCTCAGAAATGCATCCAATAGGATTTTTTCGTTACTAATGCCAGTAGTGGTCTAAACCAGTCAGATTCGAGCCAAATCAGCTACTAGATCAGTATCAATGATGGTTCATTTTTCTCGTCGTTTAACAGTCATATCTACTTCTGACTCACAACAATAACGATGTGAAACTTTTATTATACAACTACATCTCTTTTCACTATTTATTCCCATGAGATTTCTCCTTTTCTGAATATCTATCAGTGAATAGAAAAGTTAAATAGAACTAAAAATCCAGTATTGTCTTCGCACATTAGAATATATTGAGTGTATAATAGAAAAGATATATTCTAAAAATTTTCTGTTCTATTAAAAGATATGCAATATTATCGTGATTCAGGAATCCATAGAAGTACTAAGAAACACAATTTCATCGATATTCTGTTTGTTTTTGTTTGTTGAATATATTCACATATACGATTGAGAAACTCGTACATATGAAGATTACTCATTTAATCACATGTTGAATATATCAAATTAATATTTTTCATCGTGACTCAAATGAGTAAGAAACATGTTTTTGATGTCATGGTTGACAGCTCAAGTCTGTTATCGACATGAAGAAACATCATTGATTATCATGACAATAAAGACATGACATCTTAAGCTCTTTTATTTATTTGTATGGCTCGCCTATAAGACTAAAAACATGGTCCGATATTAGTAAAAAGAATAGATATCATATTGACGTCTAAGAAAACTCATTACTCATGATGATATGACTCACGAGTAGTTTTTGACATAAATGTGTACAAGAAAAGAAAGACATGAGTGTAAAATCAAAGACGTATTACCTGACTTACTTTAATCACATTGATGTTCGATTTATATTTTTAGTGTGTCTTACGCTTGAATAGCTCGCACTGATAAATAGCATCGACTACTTCGTTTTGAAAACGAAAAAATAAATATTATAAATATCTCGATTTCTAAAAATGTTATCTAATGAACCATCACATTCTCGTTTTAAAAAACGAAATAGTAGGTCACTATTTTCTTTCATTTATTAAGTAAATGATTCTTATAATATTTCTGAAGATCAAAACAAGAAACGCTTTCATTTACATCATAATCGTATACATGATCATCCAAAATGGGATGAATATTTTTCCAAAGCACACACAAATATATCGAGTGATGCTGAAAGAAGTCAATCATCTAAAAATTTGACTGACCAAGAAATTCAACAGCGTCAGCTTATTCAACAATACATTTTTTCTAAACTTGGAGCTTATGTTAATAAATCTCGTCTTTGGCAATTAACACATTCATCACATATAAAACGACGTCTTCTCGATGAATCAGCTCATATAGCAGATATTTATTCTTTAACTAAGGATTTTGTATATGAGTCTATCAATCAATTATTTACTCATGTTGACAACTATGTTTTAAAACTACATCGACTTATACAAAACAGATCAGATGGATCAGTCGAATCAAATGTTCTATTTCAAAAAACAAGAGAATCAAATAATCATTGGGGTTTATTACAATTACAACGTGCAAAACAAATATTTCCAAATATTAATAATGAAGAATTTACAGATGATGAACTTCTACAAAAATATTATAATCATATTATTGAAACTCTAACACCAAAACCTGACATAGCTAGTTCTAATTGTATTGCGCAACTTCGTGAACAACCATTTGACTTAAATCATGCATATGAACAAGCAGAAAATAAAGGCAAAGAAGTTTTAGCACTTATGTTAGAAAATTATCGTAAACGTTCAATACCTAATCTTGAATTAATTCAAGAGATGATTGATCTTGGTAACTATAAAAATAATATATTCCCATAGAACTAATAGATATTTTTCTTTAGGTTTTGAACATATGAAAAGAGCACCAACAAAAGAAGATTTTGAAGATGCAACAAATTTTATTACTAAAATTTCCCTACTTCATAAAACAAAGCAGGCATATGAAAGTGGTTTACATAATGTGGCTGATGAATTCATGATATCACGTTTTGCTAAAATTTATGGATTAAATGCATTACCAACAACAGCACGTCTAAATAAGCAATTTATATATCTTATTCACTTATTTCTTAAATCTATCTCACAACTTATAATGATGATACACATAGAGCGTGATGATAATGAAGAAATTATATCAATAATAAACACTGTTATTGGAAAACTCTTTGCAACTAAAGAAAATTCATCATTGATTAAATTAAATAATGATGATCTTTTTTCACCAAAATTAAATATTGATCAATGGACATGGTTATTTGAAAAATGGCGTGATGCCTTACGAACATTTCCAATGATGCTTACAAAAGTTGGAGCATTTGGCCGCTTATTGCGTACAACACTTGGTGTTGGTATTGCACGTTTATTTAGTTTTGCTGAGACAATTGTTAATAATAATCAAATATTAGATTCAGTATTTATGAATGAAGAATTGTTTCGTGCGCTTCAAATGGGTTTTTATTTTGGTATTGCATATGCCATTGTCGACTGTGTACAAGATGAAATTCAGAATTCAAATAATATTTCTTCACAACATTTCGCTGTTTTAAATATAGAACAAAATGAAAATGGAAGATTATTAACACTAGTTGAGATATTAGATAAATGGATTTTGATTATGGAAAACTTATTAAGTGGAGGAGAGTTTAATCGAAAAGAAATACCAAAAACACCATTGACACCATTATTGTTAGAAACATTTGATAGTCTTATTGCATTAACAAAAAGCATTGGTGTAACACGTGCAGTTTTTAATGACTTGGCTCTTTTATTAAGATCACAAAGAATGGATAAAAAAACAACTGAAAATTTTTACAATGATGAAGAACTTTACTTAGGTAACATTGTATGTCTAATGGAGGGTTAAAACTTTGGCATGTCTTGTTTTTCAAAACTTTTTTTGTTTTCAGCCCAATCGAATTAGTAACTCTTCGAAGAAAAATGAAAGGAAAAAAACAGTTTTGGTCAATTTCAACCTTGCCGAAGACCTATATTTCTCAATGGACAGAAAGCAATATATTCATGAAAGTTATTATTATAATAGTTAGTGTTCAATATAGATGATACATATTTAAATCTATAATATATTTTCTTCATATCCACGTCTATGATATTGATGACAAATATACTTCTTCTGACAAAGAACGATTTGCAATTCACGTGGCTAGTTCTATGCACGTGTCGGGCCTGGTCCCGATCTCATAACGGAATCGACATATTTTTGAGGAGGCTTACTTATTGCTTTTATGTCTTATGTCTCTAATACCTCTATAGCAAGTGTGAGGCAATATCGTCTTAATTTGTTGAAGAATCATAGTCCTTATTAACTTGTATCGTCGTGTTCTTTCCTGAGTACTGCGTTTGATGTGACGCTTGAAATGGTGACTGTTTAATCATATCTTATAGATTTTCAAAAGCGAAAAGCTTTTTCTAGTGTCACCTTTCAAGTAGACAAAAAACTTCGTATTTTGTTATGTTCTCGAAAAATTTCTGTCGAACAACGGTTTTTCAATGGAAACTAGAGTTATTATTGTTCAGCTGACCTTCTGTTAATTATCAGCGATAATTTCAATGCACCGGAACTACCACGTGGTATTTTAATAGCTTCTATCCGTAACTAAGAATTGAATTATATCAATTGTCTTCTGAGAAGTTATTAAGATAAACATAAAAAATTTTTCTTATCTGTAAAAATTTAAAATTACTCATAGAATTCAGCAATATAATAGAAGTTATTCTAGTGAGTATTCAGTATATGTACCCAAATTTGAGACATTCTGTATATAATAGTTCTATGCAATGCTACATATATTGAAGCAAAACAGTCAAGTGTAGAGAAAACAATAATCATTTCACTTAGTTTAAAGTATATACTGTCTGTTTATTTGACATTTACACTATTTATTAATAATTTTGTCTATAATTTAATTATCGATTAATAAATAATATTTCAAATAATTCTTTGTAGGTGCTATGCTCAAATCTCACTTCTCTTATACATGTATTATCTATATGGCTAATATTCAATCTACTCCTGAAGAAAGTGAGCGTCTATGGATGATACCATTTGTAGCTCAATTAACTGATGATTGTCGAGACTTTTATGAGGATTTTCAATCTAATTCTGTTACTTCATTTACACATTATGCATCATTTATTGGTCGTCAACAATCAACACATAAAAATTTACTGAATCCATTTTATGTATTTTTATATTCTTGCTGTGACATGTATTTATTATCTGGTTGTGATATGCAAACTGGTGCTTTTGTTGGTCGTCGTATAGCACGTACATTAAGATCAATTGAAATAAATTTAGGTGCATCTGCATTACGTGAATTTCTCTATTTATTTTGTGGTAATAATTTACCATTACATGATTATTTTTGGATATATGTTCGTAGTCGTTTTTCTAATGTTACTGATCCAGAAAAATCTTTGATTCGAGTAATTAATAAAGCAAGTATCAAATATGCACGAACAAATCGTAAATTAGAAACATATATTTGTGATCATCTGAAACAAGTTGAAGATGCTTTACATATTCATGCATTTAATAAAAATAAAAAGTCATTATCAGTTATTGATCGAGATGAACAATTATTAATCTCAGCTATGAATTATAGTGTAACAGCTGGTGGTAAACGTTTACGACCATTATTAATGATGATGGTTTCTGATTTATACAATCTAGAATTGAAAAATGTTTTACCATTAGCTTGTGGAATGGAATATTTACATACATCATCACTTATACTTGATGATTTACCAGCTCAAGATAATAGTGATCTAAGACGAGGTCGACCAACATTACATAAAGCAGTGATAGATGATGATATACCAGAAAACTTATGTGAAGGTCGAGCACAATTAGCAGCTGTTGATTTAATTGCTATTAGTATGAGTGTAATTAATCATGATCTTGTAAAAAATGGATTTTCACCTGAATGTGTAAATCAGGTTGTAAATGAGATATCTTTATCAATGCATGATTTATGTATTGGACAAATGATGGATCTACGTGCAGCACATATGGGTATGGAAAGAAAAAATGAACTCCTTGATGAACTTGATCATATTGCATGGTTTAAAACAGGCAAAGCAATTGAAATTGTACTTATTACACCAGCTATTTTAGCTATGTCATCTTCATCATCATCATCATCATCTGTAAATGTTCAATCGATAAACTTGAATAGTATTCGTGAATTAGGTCGATTAATGGGAATATTATTTCAAATGCGTGATGATTTATTAGATGTTGAAGGAGAAAATATTGGTAAACCAGCAGCACTTGATGTAAAAAATAATACAGTAACTTATGTATCACTATTAGGTGTTGAAGGTACTCGACAACGTTTAAAAGAATTTCGTCAACAAACATTGAAACTAGTTAATGAATGTTGGCCATCAGGTGCTGGAACAATTAAAGATGTGGTTAATTATATTGTTGATAGAAAAAACTGAGAAATAAAGCATGTATATTTATACATATATATATTTTTTCATTTTAATCAACTATAATAAATGTAACTAGATTTTAGTAAAAGAAGGAAGAAAAAAAAAATGTTAAATGTTAGTTGTTGATAATGAAATTTTGAATTTGATCGATTTGAAGGCATTGTTTTTTTTTCAATTGTTTTGTAATATATGATAACATTCATTTGACAAGTGTTTGTTGAGATTAGATACAACTGTCAAGCATTTATAATAATTTTCTATTATCAAACTTTAAAAGATATGGTGTAATAAATCAATATAAAGTTACTTTGCAGAAATACTTTCGAAACTATTTTATATCTAAGCTTTTTATTGATAAATTAAAGATCAAATTAAATATGTTTCTCTTTTGTGATTTCTATTTCTAACTAATTATTTCCGTAGGAATACAATATTTTATAAGACAAACTTTATTTTTTTTACACTTTTTCATTATAAAAAATTTATATGTCAAATATATAGTTATTTCATCATATCGATAAAAACTATGACGATAATATTCATAGTTAACATTACATGAATAAACATTGTCTTTGGATTTTGGTTTGGAAGATTTGTTTTTAATATATTTACATAGAAAAGAAACTAAACAAGATAGACGTCGATGCCGGATTTCCCAAAGCACGAAGTGCTCTAGTCAATAATATCATTTTACAAATTGACTGCGAACATTCGCGCTCAGTGATTGTTACCGGTAAACATACCTTAAACGTTGTCACCTTTTTTATATTTGTTCAAAGCACATATCCACATATTGTATTAGTGTTCATAATTTTGTTTAAGATAATCATTATCAAACTATGAACATATTGATTTATTGTTCAGTTAGCATATAGTTAAATAATTGTTGAAAACATATTGTGATCGAAAAATCTTCCAGCATATTATACATTGAAGTCGATGAAGCTAATCAAATCGTGAAAACGTATATCAGTGAAAAGAAATAGAAAAAAAGAAAGAAACTAAGAGTCCGTTGGATGGATGTCCCATCGTCGACGTGTCTTTTTTTTTCGTTTCGATGTACGTGGGCATATAATTGCATTAATTCATATCGCTTCTTTTCTTTCTTTCTGTGTGTGTCTCTCTCTCTCTTTTTCGCTCTACGACATTTCACCTTTTTCGTCGATGTGTTTGTCTCTCTCTCTCTTTCTCTATTGTATGAAAAAAAACGTCGCCTCAAGCTACAAGCAAAGAAAAGACGACTGAATGACCAAAATGTTTTTAAAGTGAATAAATGGTCAATAACTCTCGGTATTCATCAGTGCATTAAACAATAAAAAAAATATGCCTTAAGACAATTCTTTTTTTTTTTGTTTGACTGGTCATTAGAGCAATGACACCAAGTATCTTTTCAAAAGGTTGACGACGTTTTCTCTCGTTCTTGTTCTACTTATATACTACTGCTATCGAACCGTTTTTCGAAAAAAAAAAAAAAGAAATAATGTGAAGAGTCGTCAAAGAAGAGAAGAAAAAAAACGTAAAATTCGTCTCGCATTTTTTTTTCATCAATCTAAAGAGCAAACATACGTACACGCACGACGAAATAGGCTACTTACCATCATCATCAAATGAAAAAGAAAAAAAAAAAAGAAGACAACGCATAAAAAGAAAAGAAAAGCATGTCATGAGCACTATTACGGGTGTCGGTTTGCGTTGTCAAATGATGTCTCTCTTCTTTTTTTTCTACTCTATTTACCATTCGTATATATTTTCTTTTTCTTCTTTCGCTCTATCTTACTCGTTCGTTCGTTTGTTGATGGTCAAATGTTTGCTTAGACAGGTAGTCACATGAAGTAGCTTACCTGGCCTAATTTTGTCGTCGTTGTCAAAGCCTTACAATGGTGCGTGTTCGCACACACACCACACATTCAATACGTATAAGAGGACTACTCCTGTTTCAGCAACAACACACACGAGCGCAAATAAAGCAATATATTTGCGTGTACATCGAAAATTGACCACTGGATCACATATATATAAAATATATATATATATGTCGATGGTGTCTGTTTGTCTGTCTACTCTTATCGTTGGAGATGACGATGTACAAAAAACGTTTGTAAGCAATATCGAAAACAGGCAACGATAGTGGAAACAAAGAGAACAAGAGAGAGAGTGTGTGTGAGCGAAAAAAGATGAATAAAGTATGGCCGTAAGCCGTTTTCTTCATCGCTCTGACTTTATCGCGACGACAACGGCAGAAAAATCATGCATCAAACATACACAAGCATTTTTCTTTCTACACTCCTTTTGTATATTTCCTTTCGTTTATGGTTGTTTCTATCATCATTCTTATGTTGATTCAAATCCTATTTTAAACTAAAAAAAAGAAGAAAAAAAAAAGAAACGACACCAGATCGAAACTTATAACAATAATCGTTATGGAATATAATTTGTTAATGTTGTTGCGTAGGATAAAGATTGGTTTTGTCATATTTTTCTAAATATGACAAAACTTTGAACAGCAGGAGGGTTTTTATGAAAAATAAAATTTCTATCGTTTTTAAAATTACATTCAACGAAAGCAAAATAATACATCTTGTAAATAATGAATCGCCGAGGACGACGTACAAGACCAAATAAAGTAACACGAACGTATCCAATTTATACTATTTCTTCATTAGAATTAAGTAATGATGATGATGAAAGTATCATTGAAATAAAACCTATCAAACGATATCGACGTCATCGAAAGCAACCATTAAGAGTCGAACTGCAAGAATCAATCGATCAATCTATTGTTACCGGTAAAAATATAAGAGAATAAATAGACATTCATAAATATTGATAATTAAAGTAGTAAATGCATTTTTATCAAATCGTTATTTAATATTAAATCGATGAAAATTTCTAACAAAGATTAATTACATATCCGATTTAATTTAGATAATCGAAAATCACAAATAATACAAGTTGTACCAAAACGAAAACAAAAATCAACAACAATACAAACAGATGAGATACCTACTGTTTTATCAGCAAAAGAAAAGAATGAAAAATCATCGGTTAGCAATCGAAATTTTTTCTTTGAAGTGATCTTATCTGAGTAAAAATTATTTAAATGAGATTAAAATATAAACATATTTTATCGACTGATAATAATATTTACAGTTGAAATTATCATGTATCAAAAGTATTTTAAATCCATAATATCTAATGATATATAATCATTTAGTAGTTGAATTTCATCTGATACTATCGATTACGTTCGATAAAATTTTTTTTTTTTAAATTTCTTATGTAATGATATATAGTTTCTTTTTTTTGTTGGTTATTATAAAACTCTCATCAATAGAATTGATTAAGTACTATCTTATGCATACGATTGTGACTATTGCAATCGTCTTTCTATTTATTCTATACTCGCTTACTTAATATTGGTTGTAAATTCTTTATATTCTACCTCTTCGTGATAAGTGACTATTAAATATGATAAGAGTTTATTCCTTTTCAATATTAATTCTAAAAGACAAATATGTTATAACTAAATCTCTTATTCCATCTGATGATTATTAAATATTGTTCTTTGTCTTATTTCAGAAGTTTCTTGAAGATTCATTTTTTTTACCTTACACAAAAACAAACGAATCTATGACATGAAAGTCTTGATACAAAATATTCACTCATTTTTTTAGTCATCTAAAGGCAACTGGTTAGAATCAAAAGTAGTTAATTAGATTACTTCAAAATAGTGTTGGTACAGAATACAAGTTTGATCAGTTTTGTATTTCAACTGAAAAATCATTAAATTTAAAATGCGAAAAATATTTTTTCATGGCTTAACATTTTCTACAAAGCGTACTATTGATTCTTGCATGACAGATTGTAAAACTTTTGTATTTTGACAAACAGTTTTTGAAAAAGTAATTGCTAATTCGCATAGAAACTAGCTCTAGTAGAAAGAAATTTCGCCTATTCTAGCATCTTATTTTGTACGAAATTCAGTACTCAATAATAATGTTGAATTGGAGTTGTTACAAAATATGAACTAAGGACGCCGCCAAAGTTGGTATTGTGCTTTGTATAGACACAATTTTGGACTTCTTTCATAAAATTTACTGATAGTTGTTTAATTTTATTGTAGAAGGAAAATCTGAACATACACTCGGCAAGAGCAAAAAAAAATTCTGTTTCTAATCTGTTGCCGTTTAGTGATCGAAAATCAAACGAATATATTGTATTAAGACTTTCGCGCTATAGCTTACTTCATTATAAGAGAATATCCCATGAAGAGCAAACTGATTTATATGCTAGAGATTATTGTAAATCACAGAAAATCTACAATAATAAGGTTAAAAATAAAGTCTTGATTTTTCTTCATTTCAAAGTATTTATGATGATTCCTATTAATTCGTGATGAGCAAATAAAAAAACTGATTTTTCTATGATAAAAGTTACTAGAAATCAAGAAATCAGTTTGTTCGGTCTTGATGGTATCATGAATACCTCGTATTCGTAGAAGAGTATTGGAAGACACTGAAGAAACTGATTATTTTTTTGTTCATATACGTATATTCAAGATTGACTGTTAGTATAGTATTGACAGCACAACACATTCATTGTCATAAAACTAGAGGTCTAGTAGTTAGAGAAAATATTAACTATTAAACTTCTTCTAGTGTTTTTTAACAATTTCCCCTTCGAGAATATTGGATGATGCATTTCGTCCTAAAGGTTTAATCGACTTAGCCATCATAATTTTAGAGAACTTAAAGAAACTACTTAGATATGATAGTATCAATATATTCAAATTTCTTCCATAATTTAGAAAAAAAAATCAACTATATGCAATCATCGATGTCTTCGAATAATTTCTTTAATTCTTGCGATATTTATCTTAATTATTTCATTACTTCTTCTTGCTTTTTCAATCAATCTATTAGTTAATCCAAATATGACTAAAATACGTTCAGTAGCAATTGTTTATCCACAAGCAATTCCATCATCAGGTTTTACTGGTAAAGGAC